TATGCCCCTTGCAAGAGCCAGCAGTAAACTGGGGTGCAGATATAGAACCTAATGTTTAGCAATGGAAATGTTGTCCCCCTTTGCTCCTTCAAGCCCCAACATTCCCCACCATGTACTTCCCACATGTGTTTACACACTTTGAGATATTTTGAGACCACTGAGAATTTCCAATACCTCCAGAGTTGTCAAAGCCAATGTTCTGGAAGGCCCCTGGGCCGGATCCACCTTCTTCTTCCTGCCACTCCCTCATCCTAGTCACTGCATTCATTTGCCTATTGACAAAACAAAACACCAAAGAGGCGGCATTATGAATGGGTGGCAGGAGATAAAGACCTGGGGACTCACTGTGTCCTTTAATTTCAGTGCTCCCACCATCCAACTGGAGGATGGATGATTAAAGACAGAGGGATCAGGAAGGGAGGGGGAGGTGCAGGCGGCACAGTAACTCACATTTTCACCTGTCTCTTGGAGCGAAACACAAACACCAGGAGGGTGACCAGGACGACCATCACCACCACACCTGCTGCCCCCAGGAGTCCATACACCAGGCTCTTCTGGGTGCTGAACTCACATTTTTCCCCTCTGTACCAGTGAGTGTCTGTGGTCAAGCAGCTGAGGTGGAGAGAACGGGCAAGTGGGGATCCATGCTGAGCCAGGGCCAGCACTGCCCATAGCCTCCCAGTCTCCGAATCCCCCCTGACCCATGGGTGTTTGATGAGAACAAAGAGATTGGTGGGGTGAAGAGCCAGGAGCCACAAGGGGATGGACAGAGATGAAGGCCCCATGCCTAGCACCTGGCCTTTAGGTCTTGCAACCCAGGATGAGAACAGCTGGCCCAGCTCTAGGGCTGCCCTGGGCTGTGCACAGGCACCTGAGGCTGCAGCAGCAGCTCTGTCACACACACACTGACTATGCTCATTTTCAGCCTCCTTGCTTGTCAGAAAAACTATCCCCCAGCTCTGATCCCCAGCATCTGTTCCATTTTTGAAACTAGAGATGTGCTTTCTGAGCTCTTATCCTCTGCTCCCCTCCCCCAAATGACTTGCCAGCTCCTCTTCCAGGAAATCTTCCCACAATAGCCACTCAGCTCTTTGCAAATGTGTGACTCCTTCCCCCACCCCTTTGGTTTAGTTTTGGTGAGCAAAGCTTTTGCTTGCGACTCCTGTAACTGGGCTTTCAAGCTCTCCTTCCTCATATTTCCCCAGCAGGGGATGTCGCTCCCTCAGGGGATGGGAGGCCTGTTAGTCCTCTCAGTCTGACAGGTGCTTCCTGAGGTAGACTTCCTATTTCCTCAGCCTTGGCACAGAATGCAGCATAAACCCCTGAGAGGGAGGGCAGTTAGAGCCACCGTTGGCTCATTCTGGTCCTGGCCTTGGGGCTGTGGTCCTTTCTGGCGGATTTTGTTCAGCAGAGGCTAGGCCCATTCCAAGACCTTGGCTTCCAGACTCTCTCTTGAAGGGTGGGGTGGGGGGAGTGGGGCAGAATGAGGCCAGTGGGAGTGGGGGTACTCACTAGCAGCGGGGGCCTCTGAAGGGCTCCACCTGGCATTTCCCCATGTTGCAGTTCATGGAGCGGTTGAAGCCAGGCGTGCACAGGTTGATGCAGTTGGGCTTCTTGTCCTTGTATTCCAGAAAGAAGTACTCGCTCAAGCCTTTCCCAGCCCTCTCCTTGCATTCCTCTGTGGTCACAGACATGGAGGAGCCGCATGGTCAGTGGCTGGGTTGGCTGCCCGCTCCCTCCCCCTTCCCAAAGCCGCTCCCTCAGGTCACCTACGTTCAGGGTTGTAGTTGGTAACTGTAAAGTCTTGCACTTTGGTGGAATTGGCTTTGAAACACATGCCTGTGATGGAGACATGAAATCCGTTAGTGCTTGCTTGTTCAGCGGGGGCACAGGTGCGAGTGTGGGGGTGGGAGGCCCGTCCCTGTGGAGGGGGACACCAGCCTCACAGCCAGTTCTCTAGAGCGATGACCATCCCAGCTTCCTGCGCCTCCCACGGGTCCTTCTCTCCTCTTAGCTTGAGAAGAATGTATTTTGCACAAAGCATATAGATTCTGAGGCTGCAGGGGATTTAGTCTGTGTGTACCCCTAGCTTTGCACCCCCACCCCTCAAAACCTCTCTTGGCATCTGTTACCCTGGGCCACTGCCTTTGGACCTGCTTCCTGGCCTCTCAGTCCTCATCCCCATCCCCCTCTTGGCCTTTCCCCCCCTCCTGTCCCAGAGGCGGACAAAGCTTAAAGCTGCTGTGAAGGAACCTCCAGCTGCTCCCAGAAGTGGAGGCCTTTACCTGTGCAGCTTTCATTTCCAGTTACATGCATGATTGTTTTCTCCACATTGTCGGTGACATTCTTCAAAACCTCCTCATATTCTATGGAGTAATCAGTCTCCAGGATGACCTCATGATCCACCACCACACTGCCTTTTCTGAGGAGGAAGGGAAAGATGTCCTGGGGCAGCCTCCCAGGCCCGCTCCCAGGGCATTATGTACTTCCATTGGAAAATGATGTCAAGCTATGATTGTTGGAGGGTGTTAGGGGCCGAATTGTGTGCCCCCCCATTTATATGTTGAGACCTTAATCTCCAGAACCCCAGAATGTGCCTGTGCTGGGGGTCAGGACCCTAATCCAATGTGTCCTTATAAGAAGAGAAACTTTGGTGGTAGAGACACACCGGGATGTGCACACAAGAGGAAAGGCCCCTGCACGACGCTGGCCGTCTGCCAGACCAACCTGCCCACACCTCCATCTTGGACTCCCAGCAGCCAGCTTCATGAGAAATCAAGTTCTACTGGAGACTGCTGGTGGGCGGCGTTTTGTCAGGAAAGCCCGGGCACACTGACAGGGGACGAAGCTGTAGTTGTCTTAATGCACATGACTACCATGTCCTCTCCAAAGGCCTTCTTCTGGGACCCCGGTACCTACCTCAGACTTTTGATGATGACTTCTTTATACTCAGGGATCTGGGAATAAACCTTGTTCATCTGAAAGGCAAGGAGGGTGCTGTAGACGCAGCAAGGTGGGCAGTGGACCTGCAGCCCCGGCTGCCCCAGCTGGCAGTGGCACACTGCCCAGTGGGAGCAGCCCCCTCCCAAAGACCAGCCTGCCCTGGGCACCCAGCAGCAACCAGGTCAATCCTGGGTCATTCCCCTTCCTCCTGGCCAGCCCTGAGGAAATGAGAGCAGAGAAACACACATGCCTCTCCCCAGAGAACAATGGGCCCTCAGCTACCTTCTTAACCCCTAGGGACTCCTCTCTGGGGGGAAGAGAGTGAGTGGCCCCAGTACTTGCTCTCCCAGGCTCACCTTGATTTTGAATTCCCTTGTGAAATTCTGGTAAGCCTCAGAAGAGTTGTCATGTAGGTCTTCAGTGAAGTTCTGAGTCACTGTCACGGTCACTTCCACCTGGGCTTTGATGGTAGGCGGGGGTGCTGAAGGGGTCAGAAAGCAGCAGCACTTACTGAGGGTAGCACCCCCGAATTCCCTACCAAGGACACCCACATCTCCTGCCACCCCCATCCCACCCCGGAGGGGGTGTCACTGTACTCCTCATGGCTTTGGGATGGAGCTGAGGACCTTCGCTCTTATGTTCTCTTAGAGATTCCACACACGCTTTGTATTCTGCGCCATCACATACTCATCTCTCTTAAGTGCACTTTGCTCCAACATCTGTAGCAAGTTTGTATTTTGTTCCAAACTACAACATCTTGCTTTACTCATTTTTTAACTTTCTTGCTATCACGACAAAGGTTGCTGTGGGAAGAGGCCCTGTTCCTGGCCTGCAGGGCTGGGGGGAAGGCCCTGCCACCTCACTCACTTAGCTCGATTTTGGAAATCACGTCCTGACACTTCGGCCCTATGAATTGTTCGGTGCAGTTGCATTTAATCCCGTCCCAGGTGCCTCCGTTATAGCAGAAGTCATCTCCCTTCAGAAACTGGCACTCGTTGCCTATGTATGGTTCCGGGCACAGGCACTTAATTCCATCCCAGGAGCCTCCGTTCTGGCAGATGTAACTGTCCACCGACTCGCACCGGTCACCCACAAAGCCGCTGGGGCACACACAGTTCGTTCCATTCCAGCTCCCTCCGTTGAGGCAGCTACCTGCAAGAGGCAAGGTCCTGTTCCACCACATGCAGTTGCACTGCACTTTACAACGCGCAACGTATTCTCACAGACACTGCAGAACTTGACAGTGTCAGGGTATCACCCCCAGCATAGGCAGGTATCACCCCCACCCTACAGAGGGAAGATGTGAGGTGGAGGGAGACTGAGTCTCCTGCCCAATGTTCCAGGTGGAGGTCAGACCTGACCTGGCCTTGGAGACCCACCTTAGCCCCAAAGAGTGAGGAAAGACAAAAGGTGGGGGACAGCACAGTTAGGGCTGAGGGAGAGAAGAGGAGACAGAGACTGACAGAAGCCAGGGCACCTGACCAACTCGGGAGTGAACAGGCAATGTCCCTTCAACGCCTGCTTTAGAAGAGCTGGGATGCAATTGCTGCTGCTGTGACGGCTCAGGATCGCTTTTTTATTTGCTGGGACATGGCATTCAGGGGAGGAGGGTAGACTTAGTTTAAACAGATGGGACAAGGTATAGACACCTCTCAAGTATCAATGCCACCCAGGCGGCAAAGTCCAGGGCTTGTTCTCTTTGGCTTGTCTTGAACAGAGCAGCACCTGTGCAGGCCCTGGCCCAGTGTGCTCGGTGTGGGGAGGCGTACAAGCCGTTCATGTGCGCTACAGAGACTGCGCCCCCGCGGCCTCCTGGTCTGCCACCACCCCACTGGGAGAGCAGGGCTCACACCACGGTGGTCATGTGGTGCTGCCTCTGGTTGCAAGGCCTGGGTCCCAGACATTAAGGAAGAATGGAAGGGATAAGTCAAGAGTCTTGGGCACAATGGACGCCCACAAATCTTAACTCAGTCTCCTCTCTCCCACCCACCTCTTTCTCTATCTCACTCTCTTTTCTCTCTCTTTCTCTCTCTCTCTCTTGCTTTCTCCTTACTAAGGATGTTCAGACCTGACTGATGCACCCAAGAACTTGTGAGTAGCAGCAAAAACAACAGCTGGGGTGTGTCCACATGTTGTCTGACCATCTAAAGAAAAGGCTGACAACTGGGTCTAAAGAGAAGAAAGAAAGGGGCCCATCTCCCCTCAGAGAGGCAGCTAACACCAACTTTGGGCCCTGCAGATAGGTAGTCACCAGGCCATGGCTGGGAGACACCTATGGGTCTTCTTGAGAAGACAAGGGCCAGACCTCCCCTCCAAAAATGCTCAGCCCTCTATCTGAGAACAAGAGATCTCAAAAGACAAAGACACATTGGAGAGAAGCCAGAGAACAAAACCTCCAACCTGAAGAGGAAGCAACACAGAGCTCAACAGAGGAAGCAATGAGCAGCCATGAGAAAATACAATAACCTAAAGCTGAAGAAGTGCCCTTCAACTTCATGAGTTCAAGACGAGATTGGGCAGTGCCTGGGGCAGACCCAGACCGAGCGTCTGAGCATATCTGTGGTTCATCTAAATCTAAATGAATGAGTCAAGTAATTTAATTAGTATTTGTATTTTAATTCATACCACTACCTATATCAATCTGAATGGGAACGAATGTTCACAGGTATATTGCTGTGCTATACATGTGATGTATATAGAATATCATATATAATCTGTGTAATATAAATAATATATGGTATATTCTAACTGTACCTGAAATGAGCTGAGTGAAGCCAGAGTGAAGAGAGCTGAGTGGAAACTTCCGTAGAGACAAGAGAGGAAAGTATGAGCCAGAGAAACACTCAAGGGCGTGGGGACAGAGTTCAGGGTTGATGAATGACCCTATATAGGCCTCAAATGTGGATGCTTAGAGGATAAGGTGGAACAGTGTAAAAGTGAATGGGGTCTGTCCTGTTCCCCACTCTGTCTCTGGTGAATCCTCCCACCCCCCACACTTCTGGCCTGTACCCCAGCTCCTATATGCATGAATAAATAAATCTTTAAAAAAAAAAAGTGAATGGGGTCAGAGAGAGAGGTCAAAGATACACTTTAACAGGACAGTTATATCCCTTTGTGGGGAAGAATCTGTGCACCATGCTTTGAGTCAAAAGAAAATATACAACATAGATGTGAAAATGCAATGAAAACCACAGTCAATTAAATCAGTGGATAAAAATGCAGGGGAAAGACTTGCAGTGTGCAAAAGCAAGGAAACAAGATTATCAGGACATTTGAAATGACATGGAATGTTACAGAGATATTGGCAAGAGTTGTACTGAGGTGGAATGTACAAAAACACCAGAGAGAGTGAACAGTCAATACAAAGTGATGACATGAGGGGTTGTCAGAAAAAACCATAGCAATGGAAAAGTATATAAAAATTAAAATTTTGGAAATTGCAAACAGAGTGATTAGAAGAGAAATGTAGTTCAAAGATAATTGGAGAAACTGATTACTTGTGGTAGGTGAGGTGGCGAGCGTGGTGGTAGACATGCTGGTCGTTGTAGTAGAGATGGCAGCACTGGTGGTGCTGGTGGTAGATATGGGTGAAGTGCCAGACGTCATGGGTGAGCTGGTAGCACTGGTGGCGCTGGTGACACTTGTGGCATAGCCGGGTGAAGTGTTGCACATAGAAGGGGTGGTAGCACTGGTGGTGATTGTGTCAGAGGTAGGTGAAGTGCCGGACGTCGTGGAGGAGACGGCAGTACTGGTGGCGCTGGTGGAAGAGGCAGGTGAAGTGCGGGACGTCATGGTTGAGCTGGAAGCACTAGGGGTGCTGGTGGTAGAGGCTGGTGCAGTGCTAGACGTCGTGGCAGAGCTGTCGGCACTTGGGACACTGGTGGTAGAGGCTGGTGAGGTACCAGTTGTCTTGGGAGAGCTGGAAGAGCTGGTGGCGCCTGTGGTAGAGGCGGGTGATGTACCGGCTGTCGTGGGAGAGCTGTCAGCACTGGGTGTACTCCTGGTAGAGGGGGATGATGTACCGGATAAAGTGGGAGAGGTGTCAACACTGGGGGTGTAAGTGGAAGAGGCTGGTGATGTACCAAGTGCTGTGGAAGAGCTGGAAGCACTGGGGGTGCCTGGAGTAGAGGCCGGTGAAGTGCTGGACATCGGAGGAGAGCTGGAAGAACTTGGGGCGCTGGTGGTAGAGGCTTGTGAAGGACCAGCTGTCGTGGGAGCACTGGAAGCACTGGGGGCGCTGGTGGTAGAGGCTTGTGAAGGACCAGCAGTGGTGGGAGCACTGGAAGCACTGGGGGCGCTGGTGGTAGAGGCGGGTGATGTAACATCTGTGGTGGGAGCGCTGGAAGCACTGGGGGCACTGGTGGTAGAGGCTTGTGAAGTACCATCTGTCGTGGGAGCGCTGGAAGCACTGATGGCGCTGGTGGTAGAGGCTGGTGAAGTACCAGCTGTGGTGGGAGCGCTGGAAACACTGGGGGCGCTGGTGGTAGAGGCGGGTGATGTACCATCTGTCGGGGGAGCGCTGGATGCAATGGGGGCGCTGGTGGTAGAGGCAGGTGATGTACCAGCTGTCGTGGGAGCGCTGGAAGCACTGGGGGCGCTGGTGGTAGAGGCGGGTGATGTAACATCTGTGGTGGGAGCGCTGGAAGCACTGGTGGCGCTGGTGGTAGAGGCTTGTGAGGTACCAGCTGTGGTGGGAGCACTGGAAGCACTGGGGGCGCTGGTGGTAGAGGCGGGTGATGTAACATCTGTGGTGGGAGCGCTGGATGCACTGGGGGCGCTGGTGGTAGAGGCTTGTGAAGTACCAGCTGTGGTGGGAGCGCTGGAAGCACTGGGGGCGCTGGTGGTAGAGGCGGGTGACGTACCATCTGTCGTGGGAGCGCTGGAAGCACTGGGGGCGCTGGTGGTAGAGGCTGGTGAAGTACCAGCTGTGGTGGGAGCGCTGGAAGCACTGGGGGCGCTGGTGGTAGAGGCGGGTGATGTACCAGCTGTCGTGGGAGCGCTGGAAGCACTGGGGGCGCTGGTGGTAGAGGCGGGTGATGTAACATCTGTGGTGGGAGCGCTGGAAACACTGGTGGCGCTGGTGGTAGAGGCTTGTGAGGTACCAGCTGTGGTGGGAGCACTGGAAGCACTGGTGGCGCTGGTGGTAGAGGCTTGTGAGGTACCAGCTGTGGTGGGAGCACTGGAAGCACTGGGGGCGCTGGTGGTAGAGGCGGGTGATGTAACATCTGTGGTGGGAGCGCTGGATGCACTGGGGGCGCTGGTGGTAGAGGCTTGTGAAGTACCAGCTGTGGTGGGAGCGCTGGAAGCACTGGGGGCGCTGGTGGTAGAGGCGGGTGATGTACCATCTGTCGTGGGAGCGCTGGAAGCACTGGTGGTGCTGGTGGTAGAGGCTGGTGAAGTACCAGCTGTGGTGGGAGCGCTGGAAGCACTGGGGGCGCTGGTGGTAGAGGCAGGTGATGTACCAGCTGTCGTGGGAGCGCTGGAAGCACTGGGGGCGCTGGTGGTAGAGGCGGGTGATGTAACATCTGTGGAGGGAGCGCTGGAAGCACTGGTGGCGCTGGTGGTAGAGGCTTGTGAGGTACCAGCTGTGGTGGGAGCACTGGAAGCACTGAGGCCGCTGGTGGTAGAGGCGGGTGATGTAACATCGGTGGTGGGAGCGCTGGATGCACTGGGGGCGCTGGTGGTAGAGGCTTGTGAAGGACCAGCTGTGGTGGGAGTGCTGGAAGCACTGGGGGCGCTGGTGGTAGAGGCTTCTGAAGGACCAGCTGTGGTGGGAGCACTGGATGCACTGGGGGCGCTGGTGGTAGAGGCGGGTGATGTAACATTTGTGGTGGGAGCACTGGATGCACTGGGGGCGCTGGTGGTAGAGGCTTGTGAAGGACCAGCTGTGGTGGGAGCACTGGATGCACTGGGGGCGCTGGTGGTAGAGGCGGGTGATGTAACATCTGTGGTGGGAGCGCTGGAAGCACTGGGGGCGCTGGTGGTAAAGGCTTGTGAGGTACCAGCTGTTGTGGGAGAGCTGGATGCACTGGGCGCGCTGGTGGTAGAGGCTGGTGAAGTACCAGCCATGGTGGGAGCAGTGGAAGCACTGGGGGCGCTGGTGGTAGAGGCTGGTGAAGTACCAGCTGTCGTGGGAGCGCTGGATGCACTGGGGGCGCTGGTGACAGAGGCTGGTGAAGTACCAGCCGTGGTGGGAGCAGTGGAAGCACTGGGGGCGCTGGTGGTAGAGGCTGGTGAAGTACCAGCTGTCGTGGGAGAGCTGGAAGCACTGGGGGCGCTGGTGGTAGAGGCTGGTGAAGTACCAGCTGTGGTGGGAGAGCTGGAAGCACTAGGGGCGCTCGTGGTAGAGGCTTGTGAAGTACCAGCTGTGGTGGGAGCGCTGGATGCACTGGGGGCGCTGGTGGTAGAGGCGGGTGATGTACCAGCTGTAGTGGGAGCAATGGAAGTACTGGGGGCGTTGGTGGTAGAGGCTTGTGAAGTACCAGCTGTGGAGGGAGCACCTGAAGTACTAGGGGTGCTGGTGGGAGAGGCTTGTGAAGTACCAGCTGTCGTGGGAGAGCTGCTAGCACTGGGGGCGCTGGTGGTAGAGGCTTGTGTAGTACCAGCTGTGGTGGGAGCGCTGGAAGCACTGAGGCCGCTGGTGGTAGAGGCGGGTGATGTAACATCTGTGGTGGGAGCGCTGGATGCACTGGGGGTGCTGGTGGTAGAGGCTTGTGAAGGACCAGCTGTGGTGGGAGCGCTGGAAGTACTGGGGGCGCTGGTGGTAGAGGCTTGTGAAGGACCAGCTGTGGTGGGAGCACTGGAAGCACTGGGGGCGCTGGTGGTAGAGGCTTGTGAAGGACCAGCTGTTGTGGGAGCACTGGAAGCACTGGGGGCGCTGGTGGTAGAGGCGGGTGATGTAACATCTGTGGTGGGAGCGCTGGAAGCACTGGGTGCGCTGGTGGTAAAGGCTTGTGATGTACCAGCTGTCGTCGGAGCACTGGAATCACTGGGCGCGCTGGTGGTAGAGGCTGGTGTAGTACCAGCTGTCGTGGGAGCACTGGATGCACTGGGGGCGCTGGTGGTAGAGGCTTGTGAAGGACCAGCCGTGGTGGGTGCAGTGGAAGCACTGGGGGCGCTGGTGGTAGAGGCTGGTGAAGTACCAGCTGTTGTGGGAGCGCTGGATGCAC